GAATTTCCTGCCAAATTTGAATAGGTTGGGAAAAGGTTATAAACTCCTCAAAGTTTGCTATTGTTGTGTGCTTTACTGGTGAGAAGATTCACCCTTGCGCTGGTTCTGGTGGCTACTAGGCCCAGCAATTCAGAGGAAATTAAACATTTTACTGTTGTCACAGGAGTAAAAGGGAAATCGCCCCATGACATATCACTTATGGCATAATTTCCTCTCACTTTGAAGAGATGATGTCACCTCCTGTTGTGTCTCTTGGCAAGGAAGGGTGGTAAAACTTCCCACTTTGGATACAGACAGTAATGAAAAACATGTTATCCTTAGACTGCAGGCCCTCCTTTCCCCTCAAAAAGCCCACCATAACAGATGATCAAGCTTCAACAGTATCATTTATGGTCGGTGTTGGGGCAAAGGGAGCAGCTACATTCAAAGGAAAACAGACTAATTATGCATATGGTGATATGACCATGGTGGAATTTCCCTATAGGGCATAGAGAGCTTTAGCCATTTCTAATTATTGTAATGAAACCCTTACCGAGGTTCCAACCCTTCCCACATAATCCAAAACCAGGAAAAAAAGGTTTGGGGTAGAAATCCACTTTAGTCAAAATGAGGGGGGAGGGGCAGGTGGGCGACACAAATGGAAAAACCTTGTCTGGATGCGGATCTAGACTAGTACATACATATGACTTTTTTTTTTAAAGACTTTGCTAAAGTCAAATTGCTAAAACAAATAATAGGCCACAAACAGTAGAAGCAGAGTTAAATATAACTAGTAACCTTATTTCTAAATATATACTACAAGAGGTTGACATAAACCACCAAATGATTGAACAGCTCCATTTTGAAGTAACTAAAGGGACAGTTACAAAGCTGCAAAGGCAAATCACAGTATGTTGGTCCCCATATGCATAAGCTTTGCAAGAGGAGTGCCACTTAGCACTTTTATTGTGTTAGTTTTCATCTAGAAGAATTCCAAAGAGGCAAAATAGCAAGTTCATTGGTCAAAAACTAAAATGCTTCTAAGGTAAAGTTTCAAAAACAATGTCAGTATATACACTAAAGATTGACCAACTGATCTGCCAAAGAGGAGCAGTGACTGCAAATCAAAGTTCAACATGTGACATTTAGTGAATATCTGTAGCTGTCCAACAGTAGACTGAAAAACAGAGTCAGGACATTGATCTGAGGGAAAACTGTAGGTCATGACCTTTAGAAAGCAGAAGTTTAAAATAGAGCTGCTTTTTGGAGGCCGATATAAGGCCAATGTACAAGATACATGCCCTGGATTAAGTACAAAAACCTGGACCCCCCAGCAGTGGAAACAGTAATATATTCTGACAATCTCCCACCCGATGATAGGTTTAAATTTGGAAAACACCAGATGTAAACCCATCCAAAAGATGCCTTCAATCAATAACTGCAAACTTTTTTTCTCTCAGTTCAGAGTTTCTATAAGGGTTGACGTTGCTGGTTTCCATCTATAATAGTCTCAGTTTCCCCATAATTTCTGAATCAGTGGCCAAATCCTGGTATGCAGATTGAGGTTAGAACTCGCAATCTCCCTACTTGCTCTGGGTCAGTGAATGAGAAAAGGTTTTGGCCACAGGGGCAGCATGACACGCAGTCAACTAGCATTTTCAAGAGAGCAGTAATGACAGCTTTCATGCTCTCCACACAGATTTCTTTGAAAGGATAACGAAACCCAAGATTACAAAATGAATATATTGCACCTTACAAGTCCTTTATTGTTGTGGCTACATTACTTGTTTTTGCAGGTTAAAAATTATTTCACAAAAGTACAGAAAATCTGTTGATCTGGCTTAGTCACTTCCCGGAAGCATAAAACAATCCTATCTCCTTTCTGTAAAATACTAATCTCCTCATCCCCCATGTAATGGAGATGAACAAAGGCAGGCATGTTTTTAGTCCAGCCTGGGTGGTAACCATAGTTCTCTCCATAGATACAGTGGAGGAGTGAGAGTAGCCACTCTAGGTTATGAACTGTGTTATTCCCAGGATTACAATAAGAAAACTATGAAATAAATACTGCTTTGTGACAAAAGAGTATCCGCAGGGAGATGGCCCATGTTTGAAATCCAAAGTCTATCATAATTGTATAACAAAGCCACTTCATTAGAGAGTTGAATAATATTGGAGGTATACCCTAAAAGGTGCCCACACACCTTGCGATAATCGTGGGAAATCTTGCGATCGTACGATTATCGCAAGGTGTGTGGAAGGCGTGCGACCTCTACTACTGTAAGGTCGCATTACTTTTATCTTAGGAACATGTTCGAAAACCTGCCGAGAATCGTACCATTGTCGGCGGGTGTGTGGCATGTTCGTAAGATAAATGCCGCATGGGCCGGTGTGCGCAAGCGCACACTGCCCGTTCAGCATTGCGGTCATCGGAAGTACGATCTGCCTGTCCAAGATGGGCAGATCGTACGTTTTTTTAATTACCTTACAACCATCGCAAGACAAAAGTCTTGTGATGGTTGTAAGGTGTGTGCCCAGCATAAATCAGGGCAGATATGCCTTTATCTCTTTACAAAAAACAAGTCCGATGATGATGGCACACCCAATTACAGATATCTAAATGTTATTAAATACCATTAAGAATTATTTCATAAATATGTTTAGAGGAATTGGGGGGCCTGTGAGGCTTTATTCATACCAGTGTTCTGCAAATGTTCTACGAGTTGTATATTAATATTTAAATTCAAGGCTTAAAAACAGATCCTTGAGCACATGCATTTGCATGGCCCCAGAATAGACATGAAATAACCCGAGAGCCCAGAAAAAGGTTCTTGACATTTTTTTAAAAATAGGCTATATTAATTATAAATTCTACATAGAAGTATTCCACTTGGGCCCACCTAAAAAAATCATTTTTAATATTCGATTGTTTTCACAACTCAAAACCACACCAACTTCACTGTGTTGCTATAAAAGAAAAAAAGCGGCAAGTGAAATTGATTTAATGTCTAAATATACTCAATGTCAGGTTCTGGGCCCTGAAATGTGATATGTTCCAATGGGGGAAAAAAGGGACCAGTGAGATTTACCCTGCAATTTCTGAACAACATGTTTTAAACCAGTTCATATACAGCAACTTAAAAAAAAAAGCCCATTTTCCTTTACAAAAAAACAAACACACAAACAAACAGAAAACCTGTAATGCATTGCTCCCCTTTTCCAGAGCAGTTTCCTACAGTACTACTTCTCCCTCACTAGATACCCCCAGCAAGCCTTTTTCCTGTGAGCCCTTGAGTTAAAGTGACATTAAACCCTCAGATTTTTTAACATAAACCAATACTGTAATGTGCGCCTTACTGTAATCCATGGTTGTTTCCCTTCTCTTTGCTGCTCTTTCTTTTAAATCCTCAAGTCTTCTCATGCTGGGGGAGAACTTCCCTTTGCAGCTGAGTGCCTCTTCCTGTAGTGCTGGCTCAGGTTGCAAACCTATACACAGACACCATGTAGCCATTCCAGAGACAAGGCAGTCTGCTGCAAAACAGAAGTTCTGCCCAGCATGAGAAGAGATACGGATTTAAAAGGAAGAGCAGCAAAGAGAAGGGAAACAACTATGGATTACAGTAAGGCACACATTACAGTATTGGTTTATGTTAAAACATCTGAGGGTTTAATGTCACTTTAAGGTCACCACTCTGGGATCACAGTACTCCTGGACTGAGAATCCCTCTCACAATCAGGAGGAAGGATTACCCACCATCATGAAAATAAAGGAAGGACTTGTGACGGTCTCAAAACAGCTGGAAAAAAATGTATAGGGTTTTATTTTCCTAAATACTACACACATTATTTTGTTTTGCACTGTAAACCTATTCTTACAGTTATGGCAACTGAAAAAAAAGAATTCAAGAGAAAAAGTTTATACTTACATCTTTCACAACAGTTTCACAAACTTTATAAACATCCAAACAAAATGCATGAATTGTTACAACACATAAATACATCTTTTAGATCTTCAAAATAACTGTACAAAAGGTTACAAAACACTAATGGCAAAAAACAGTACAAAATCAAAAATCACTTAGTGACCCAAACGATATCCTAAAAAGACTTAGTGAGATGAACCCTTTAAAAGAATAGGGCAATTACCTGTCCAGACAGTGGCGAGGACTTAAGAGTCCTGGATGCCGCTGCTATCTGCCATTTCTGGGTGTGTAGGATAGCGTATTCATTGCCATGTGCTGTGGTTTCTCCAGCCGCCCCCTATGTCGTTACATGACACAGTAGTTATGTAGGGATCACAGAGAGGAACCACAGCGCCCAGCAAGCATGGAGTATATTGCTCTTGCACACCTTACTGGAATCAACTAAATAATTAAAAGGGTGCTGCAACGACTCTTGACTGGTTACGTTATGTAACATGGATAAGATATGTCGCCAACACACAAACAGGCTTTTTTCAAAGCTCTTTTTTTATTGTGTGATCACATAGAAAAGCACGTTTTTGGGATCATGAAGGGACATTGCGCGGCCCTGAAACTTTGCTTTTCTATGTGATCATGCAATACATAAATTAGATTTTCACTTTAAAACAAGCTTGTCCGTGTGCTGGCGACACATTTTATCCAGTGCGTAGCAGAGTAATATCCAAGACGCTGATAACAGTAGGATAGCAGCAGCATGCGGAGCAATTGAAATAAGTGAAGATTTGCCTTGCTGCCTGCTGGACAATTAAGTATGCAGCACTTTCTTTTACAGGGTGCGTCTCACATTCCTCGTTTGAGACAGCAACAGGGTCACTTTAAAAGATGATGCCACAGGTTTACGAATATTGATACATTTACAATAGCACTCTGTTCCATTTCACATACTTTGATGTTTAGTATTCTTTATTCAATGTTAATGAAAAAAAGATATACTTTAGGCATCTTGGATTCTTGCATAGGAATATCTGATCTTACTATGAGGGAACAACAGTAAATCAGCTGGTATAAGGGCCCCTTGTTCAGAAGGAAGTTATTTCTTACAATATTTCTAGGCTATAGAAAAGCCCCTTTTTCTCGCCAGTTCTGACCAATTATGACTGGTAACATCTCTTCATCATTGCTTTCAGCATCATCTTCCTCTTTGGCAGCTTTTGACATCAGAACTTTCTTCAATGACTCATTTAAGACATCTTTGCGGTTTCTTAAATGTTCAATTCGCCGGAAACACTCCCTGCAAGACAGAACAAATAAATAAACAGATACGTACAAAGATACAATTATATAAATCTTCCTAAGTTGTGGAAACAAAATCTTATTTAAATGAAAACTATAGCAGGCAGCTGTAATATCTGCCAAAATATTTGTATTTCGATCCATCCAGTTCTGAGATGTATACAGACCTCACAAAGCATAGCTAGGTGGATGCATTACTAGTTAATGGACCCTAAGGAGGTGTCTTCTCTCCACCCCCCAGATGCTGAATGGAAAGAGCAGAAGAAGAATGAGCAGAAGTCATCCTCTTACTTACTCTTCTCTCCCCTCCTATCAGCATGTTCCTTGTAAGCACATCTACATGCAGCATACCTTATAGGCTCTCCAGGACACCTCTCCGCAAATTAATTGCTAAGAAGTCAAAGTCAGGTACCTAACTAGTTGCATTTAAAAGAAAATGTAATGATTTATAAATGAATACAGATCCGCAGCATATCTGCCTGAAGTTAAACTTTATTTTGTTTTAGTTTTGATAAACACGTGAAAGTGTACATCATAAAACTAAAAGAGAACTAACCTTTTTTGGCCATAGTTTTCTTCAGGGTCACATATAAAAAACAACGGGCTATTGTCCGCTATAGCCTGAGCCACACCACACCGCAGCTGGGACGGATCCTGAAAATATTGTCGGGATCACAGGTGTCACAGGTCAGCTTGAATTAAGGGGATGAGTGTATTTCACTCACCCCATAATTCCCCTTTCATTTTGAAACCACTCACTTAAAATAGCTAATACTTTCTCTATAAAGTGGACCTACCCCCAAATCACATCAAACTTCTATCTGAAGAGCCATAAACTCTTATACACCTCAACACAACTTCTGATGTCTCATAATATCAAAGGAAATCCAATCAAGTCACAAATTGACCTTAGGTCTGCCTGCTGCCTATATCCTATTAAAGTAAATATTAGACTGTAACCACTGCCAAGAATCACACAAAGAACCGCACTCATTGTCACAACAGCTCAGGTGGACTCAATAGTCAGCAAGCTTGTCTTTGGTGAGATATCTGCCCTTCCTAATAAGTCACTTAAGACCTATGCAAGAGCAGTGTCAGTCAACCTAGCAAGCAATGTTCTTAAAGAGAAACTCCAGGAATTAACAAAATTAACTCCTGCAGTGGGGCTACCCCGGCACTGCAAGCCTCAACTGCTTGTCTGTCTGGGGGGGCACAAATAAAGCACATATACTTACCTGACCCTTGATCTCCCCTGGCTGCTCAATCTCTCCCCCAGCAGGTCATTTCATTTTAAGTACATTTGTTACTATTTTGATCAGTATTATGAAATTCTGAACAAAGCTACAGAATCTCAGATAGATTGTGTAAGGTTTTGCAGCTGTATGGTTTCTATTACACTCACCAATTAATGCAAATTTGTGCTTTGACCATGAAGAGCAAAGCAACAGGCTTGCTTTAAAGCTCAGTCCCCCAGCAAGATATATTCTCACCTGTCCATTGCTCTACCACCTCTCCAATCAGCTTCCGGGAGAGAAAGAAATACCCATTACTTCTGGGTATGGAGAAGCATGTAACTCAATCCATGACAGCACTACTGCTTGGTAACAGGCTGTTCAATCTCCCAGTGGGTGGGGAAGCAGTCGTCAACCCTGTGTAAGCTCTAATTGGAGTTCGTAGTATACAGTATCTTACACAGGGCTGTCTTTTTTCACTCCAAGGAGATGAATAGAGCAGGGAGAGAAACAAAATAAAAGGTAAATATATACTGTTTAAAAGGGGGCATTAAGGTGAACCTGTTACTTTGCGTTGTACGGTCAAAGCACATTTTCTCTCTTTTTAAGGGGAGTGAAGCTACCAAAAATATATGAATATACATGTGAGCAGGTCTGTACTGGCATAAAGCACCCAATTGTGTGTTTGAAAACTTCACAGCCATTTCCATGCATGCACCACACGATTTTTCTTTGAATTGATATGTACATTTAGGATATTTGCCATTGCATTTCATTAGCAGATACAGTATGTACATTTAGGTGATTTGCCATGGCTGTAAAATTCCTTGTTCAGGTACTTCCTTTTATAAGGCGACAGCTATTTCCCAGTTGTCCTCTGGTGTTCTAATGTTCCCCTAGTGGAGCCTACACTGGTCATGCTAATAGAAATTGCAAAGGCATGGTCCACCATTGTCACTATGAGGAAGCTGGTCAAAAGCAATTATGTTTAGCACACATTGAGTGTCCATGGAGACAGGAAGTGCCTTAAAGAGAGACGAAACAAGCGAAAATCAAAATTGTTCATTACACAGTGCTTTGGCAAACTAAATATCAGTGAATTGGGGATTATATCTTCTTTAAGGATTAGCACATTCAAGTGAATAAATCTAAAAGACAGCCTCAGAGCAAAGCAGGCACCTATCCAGAAGAAAATCGGTATGAGATCTATAAATAAATGGGTTTCTGCTTTTTTCTTTCCTTCTACGAGCCCATCATTTGTAGATCTAAAAAGAGCTATCATTGATATCTCTGCATGCATTTGCACCAAAGTCAAAGCTTCAAAATGTTTTATTTTACAAAAAGCACATAACAGTATAAAATTCTGATCTCCCAACATGTGAATATTTATATTTTTTAAAAAAATTTAAAAGCCCACACACTATGACTGTAATGCGGCTTGGGATTAGATAATCTTTCCACCTACGCACATTGTTAGGATATGAGAAATGTTAACACATCTGTAGTTAATACTGTACAAAAAAGGCTGCCTGAGAAGCCCTAAATCTTATCCATTCAAGACTGACCATTCCGAGTAGACAGATTTCGTGACAGTATTTGGCTATATTCAAAACAAGTTTTGTGAAAATAAAGTCCACCTTGCTGCATTAATTAACACTTGGCCCAGAGAGATGCCTGTGAAATTAATTTGTCTGTATGATTGTCTATAAAAGCTCTAGCAACAAACCTGTCAAGTGAAACCTTAGTTAATTGAAGCTTTCAATGAACCAAACTGCAACATGGGTGAGACGAGGTCAATAAGCTGTACGAGAAGTTCCACTTCTGCAAGTGGCAAATCACAAAATTTAAACTTGTAAGAAAAAAAAAACAACTTTCATCCATTAAAAGCCAAACCAATTCTGCGTACATCTGTTCATCAATTTCCTCAATCTGCCGATCGAATCGACCTTCTTCATCTTCTTCTGCCACAATTGCTTCAGAAACCTTTAACAAAGTGTTACAGTGGAAATGTAGTTCACATAGGCAAAACATTACATTAGAAATGACATTTTATGGTACATCTTCACAAAATCAGAAAAAACAAACATTACTTAGGTAAGGCCCCCAAACTGAACCATACCCCTGAAGGCGTTTACTTCCTTTGATGGCGTTGTCTACATCCTGGATGGTAAACATCTCGTGTCGGGCGGCCTAATGCCGCCCTGTGGGGGAATAGTACAGCTTAGGGTAATTTAGAGAGCTCGTTTATAGAATTCAGGAACTTGTCCTTTAGGTGTTCTTCATGTGCTATTCAAACAGCAACTTTATGCAACCCTGATTGAGCGGAATTTTTATAAAGGAAGATTAATAAAAAATCAAGTGCACGGTAAACCAAGTGTTCTAGTGAAGACAAAGTACGCTGCTGAAATGAGAAGAGGCTGCTGCCTGTAATCACACACAGCCTCGATACGGACGTTAATGCAGCACGGATCTGTACAGGCCGGCTGTTGCTCGTGTGAATGAGGGCTTAGCGGGTGCCGAGTGCCTATGTGTCTGAACAATTACTCAAATACTTTAATGAGTAAACCAAGCAAATTCTGACTTGGTTCTTTTTTTTTTTAAAGGCTATGGAATAAAAAAATAAAATAAAAACATTCGTTACTCTCTGCACTATATGTACCGCAAGTTTTATGCGTTTAGATACACTGCAATAAAGGAAAATACCTGTGCTTTTGCTACACTAAAATCCTAAGCAGCATTGTTAGCCCTGCTGGATAGCAGAACTCTATCTGCCAACCACCCCTCTTTGGCCTTTATCATATGCATACATTGATTTATTTCCCAACAAAACAATGCTGCTGCCTTGACTACTCACAGCAAGTCCACATACTCCATGTAGGGAAATCTTTTGGAATATGTCTTGGCTGATATAACTCTGGGGACATTCCTAAATCATTAGAAACTGAGCTCCCAGCAGTCATTCCTGCACACATTTTGCCTGAGGATGATGTCATAGGGCATAATAAAACATTTTCTCACTAGAGTACCAAAGTAAACAAATAAAATATAACAGCACTATGACCTAGAAGGGGAGAGGGAGGTTTTGGGGGTAAATTGTGAACTAAAATAACCTTTCAAATAGGAACTATACACATTGTGCTGGTCTAGTTAGATGAAGGACTAGCAGACAGTGCTGTTTTATGCAGGTTTTGCATTTATTCAACAGAACATGGGAGCTGTTAGACTTTTGGGTACAACATCCTGCCACAATGTTGGGCAATTAAAGTGCCTACAATTAAAAAACAGAAACAGAGGTTACCTTTAGTGAAAATTGCAAGTAATGCAGAGGGGCTTTTCCTGCAAAAGCGGACCTTGGCATTGTCCACTCCCACCACCCTAAGCCTGCTCATCTGTCAGTGGGGTCATTATATGCCCAGATGTGACATTTTTTATTAAGGATTTGCAAGGGCAAAATGTTTTCATCGCTAACCCCATTGCCCCAAACACACATATCTATTTACAGTAAACGCCCCAATATCCGGCATTACAGCAACCGGCACACAAAAATTTCGGAAATATGTCCTTGAATTTTTTTTTTTGCTGGTTGCTTGATAAATATGTGAACACTAAAAAAATGTTAATTCATTTTAGTTGTGTAGGTTGTGTGACGGGGGGGGGTTGCTTAAAGCCACCAGAAACTACAGTTATCCGGCATCCACCGATCCCCGTGTGTGCCGGATCACTGAGCGTTTACTGTATCTATCTGTACTGTATGTATTTTCCATATACAGAGTGGAAATAAAAAATTTCGGTATTACTTACGGTATTAACTTGACGTATTTCTTTCTGAAACTCTTCCCACTCCTTAGCCATGTGATCTTTAGGAGCATCTACTTTTCTAACCTTAACATAAAACACAGTCAGTAAAAAAGCGAAGTTAATAAACATACACATGTATACATCCGGTATAAATAATGGGTTAAAAAGAAGGCATTTCCAATGTGTACCAAGCCTGTATACATTTCAAACAGCCATATTTCCATATTTGCTGTCTAATACTCATGGAAAGTGGACTGTAGCTTTCAACCACTTTAGATGTATTTAATTTGCAATGTCTTTAAGTGACACACAAACTACCTTGTCCTAGTGTACAGGAACAGTAATGTCTAATTTCAAAAACCCCAAGGGTCACATCGAGTAGAGGAAAACAAAACAAATGGCAAACGCACTCTCAATTTGTAGAGTAGATGGCCACATTTATTTTTTTGCAATAGACAAAAGGACATAACAAATTCACTTTTTGACCAGTGTTTAAAAACAAACAACTAGTGTCACTGTAGATAAAAAGCCTAAATTTTATTTCATAAAATGTACCATTTATAAATGACACTTAAAGTTATGATTCTGGTACAAAGCATGAAAATGTTGTTTACAAACCAGATATGTTGGGGTCGTTGTCTTGCGTTAGGGCTGCGCTCCAAAGAAAAGGCAATTTACCTTGTCACAGTTGAGCACAATTCACACATGTGCTTTTTTTCAGCACAGTGGGGTGCAATGCGGTAAACTGCTTACACTACGCTGTGCCCATAGAACGTAATGAAATGTCACTTGATACAATTTTAATAAAGTTCTAAAAAAAAAGGAAAGTGTAATGTTCTGGGATCAGCGTATTAGCACTGTGTCGCACACCGTACACCAACTTCTGGTGTGAATGGATCCAAAAGGTTTGATAAAAAAAGTGAACTACTACTGGTTATAAAAAAAATCAGCAGAAATATAGCAGCTAATGGGAGGAAGGATTTATTTAGGGATGATTAGGATTAGCGAAGGATTAAAAAAGGGTTATAGGAGCACATTGAGGAAAATTTATCAAAACTGGAGCAGACCAAATCTGGAGCAGTTGCCCATGGAAACCAATCAGCTTCTCACTTTCATTTTCAAAGTTTAGCTGAACAAATTGAAGGTAGATTATCAGCCACCATATTCACAATACCACTTTTATTATAGGTTATAGATTAAATCCTAACATCAGTATGTAAATTAACCACTTGCTTTTGCTATGCCAAATCTGTAGGAAATTTGCAACGTTTGCAGAAGGCAAGTGTTATTCTAACAACATATTCAGTGCATATTTACATACTGATGTTAGGATTTATTCTATAATACATAATGAAAGTTGTATTGTGAACATGGTGGCTGATAATTGAATGAATACTTGGTAATGTTATTGTGTTACTGAGCAGCAAATAAGGGCCATTTTGATGGCAGAAGACTAAACATTGCATTTTCGAATTTCAATTAAACTATAAGAATTGCACTTATCCATGAGGAAAACCCCTAACATTTTACAGCTATTTGGTTACAAGTAAGGTAAGGCTTCTGCTGTATTCTCTTTCCTGCATTGCAAAAAAAAAAACCTTGTTCAAAGTATACTTCTACATTTTACATTTACTCATTCTTTTTTAAAAGACATTGGGCTTAAAATATACTGTACTACAGCCTCTCATCAGAAAAGATATGACTCGTGATAGGCTCCATATGTTGTGTATATGAGGAACACTGCCAGGGGAGCCACTAACGATTAAAATGAAATGGGCCATTTTTGTTCTAAATGTGTTAATGATCCCATCATGGCACTTGAAGTAGCATTGCGTGGAGGAGAAAGAACACTTGCCTTTGCATCAACTTCTGGGTCATCGAAGAATCCCTCAGGTAAGGCTTCTGCTGTATTCTCTTTCCTGCATTGCAAAAAAACAAAAAACAAACAGCAATATGGTACACTGCATGTGAAAGAAGGACTGTCAACTGGTATTGCACAGATATAATGCAGGTAAAAACACACTGCTCAGGTCTCACTGCCAAACACCTGCTTAAAAGGAGAACTGTGAGGCAACTCCTCAGGGTCACAGGAGGACATATACGGTGTCCTCCTTTGACCCAAAACTCAGAACATAGCAATCTATTCCCCGCCATATGCTGAGACCGCTGAAGACAATAATGTCGAGACCCAACCCGCTGGCTGATTGACAGCTGGCTGTGCTCACCACCTCCCCCATATGTCCTTCTAGTCAGAGCTGAAGGATCGGAGAGAGGAGGCGGGAATCCCTGTAGGGAGTGGTGGCAGTCAACAGTTATCACTCTCTGCAAGGAGAGGATCGGGAAGTCAGCGATCCGCAATTTGCGTTCACTGACTTCTCGATCAATTGAGCCGACCTGTGACAGCTTCTTTGTCACAGGTCGGCTTGAATGACGGGGATGAGTGTTTATCACTCACCCCTTAATTCGCCTTTAATTTCCAAAGTAGCCACCAAACCCCGGCAGAGTCCTATGTATTTTACCATGCTCCATTTTTTGTAACAATGGTAATGCAATGGGTCCTTGTCAAACATACCAGGACAGGTAATACTGAAGCCTGTATAGACTTCATACACTACAAGCCAAATACCCAAAAGGTGAGTACATGTGCAAAACACTGGGAAAAGATAGAGCTCAATTCCTGTCCCACTCCATCATCAACTGAAAACTGGTTCTGAACAGGTGACTCATGCAAGATGTGAGTAAAAAAGGTAGTCTGAAATTAAATGTAATTGACTGCTTTAGGTCACATACAGGTTATCGCAACCCACTACTGCCAAACTGCCATTTTAAAATGATGCGAGGAAACATCCAAATACCATGTTAAAAAAAAAAACACAGAATAGTGCATCTTTCTGTGGCCCATGGCTACCTTGAAGGGCTGCAACAAATAATCAATTTAATTGATGATAATCAATAATGAGAATTGTTGTCAACTTCAGCACAGGAGGACCTGAAGGAGAACTTCTCTTTCAGGTCCCTCTTCTGCTGATTGACAGCAGACAGTGGGCAGGTGCAATAGTCAGCCTGCTATTGGCTATTTCAAGTAGCAATAGCCAAAAGCTGGCTGGCTGGCTATTGCTTCCAGCCACTGCCCGCTGTACATTCCCCAGCTAAAGCTGTTTTTGAACGAAAATAGACATCTTGGAGAACTAACCACAGATCTTCTGTGGATGTAAGCTGACTCAAATCTTTCTGTCCCAGACAGACTCGATGTTGAGATCAAGGACATCTTGGTTAGTTCTACAAGATGTTTGGAACAACCTACCTGCCGAATTCCTTCAAAAACTGTGTGCAAGTGTACATAGAAGAATTGATGATGTTTTGAAAGCAAAGGGTGGTCACACCAAATACTGATTTGATTTGGATTTCTCTTCTGTTCTTCTACTTTCCATTTTGTTAATTGCTAAAAATAAATTAGTATTTTATTTCTGAAAGCATTCTTACTTTACAGCATTTTTTCACACCTGACTAAAACTTCTGAACAGTATTGTGTGTATAGATATATATCAAATATTTATATTATATATATATTATATACACACTTAAAATTTTTAGTTTTGCATAGCTAAAACAATTAACTAGCTCAAGAACAACAAAAAAGACATGACAACCGGTCACAGGGATAGACGAACACAAAGTATTTTAATCAATTTACACACTCCAAGTCTCAAGTCTCCAAAAGCAGTCCACCACAGAAAAAAATCCCCAAGATTTAGAGTATCATGTCACAATATTAGCTGACAATAGAGATAAAAGAGCAAAAATAAATAAATAACACCCGAGAGGTCCCAAGTGCAAGTGAAAATCCAAATGCCAGCAAGGCTCAAAGGTAATTAAGAAATGGAGAAAGGAACACGCAGAATTTATAGTGAATCAGTATTCTCAGAATCAAACCAACTCACCCACGCTCAAAACGTAAGCGCTGGATTATATATTATAACCTGTAAACAAGGTTTCCGAGTTTGTTTTTCAGCAGACTTTAAACAACTCTGTGCTTGAAGGCTGCAACATGCTGGCACCAAGATCAAAATATAATTATATACTGAAGCAGTAATCTGGACACTGAACGATTTGTCACAAATAAGTTACTTTATCTGGATAATCAATGAACTGCTGCACATCTAGTTGTTCGTGTGTAGGTTCTTAAGTAGATGAAGTAGCAGAGACCTCATTAAAATGTAGTTGTAGCTACATTTATTTAATTTCAGACTGCAGGCTAAATTCAAAAACTAAATAAGGGTTTTGCTTGTAGAACATTTTGTTAATCATAAAGTGCACCAATTTTAAAACACACATTTCAAGAAAAACTAAAAAAATTGTAATTTTCTACTCATCATTAAAAATCCTTTTATTGAAGTCTATCGAGGGACAAGTGAAGTCTTAAACTGCTGAGTTACACCAATGTCTACAGGAGGATTGGACACGGACACACACAAAAAATGTAGCCTAGCCCAAGATGCCTCAGTTTTGTGGCAAAGCGGTACCAAGTGCATGATCAAAAACACAGAGGGGTGGGACCTGTGCCCCTTTAAATAAAAATCCCATCAGCATGGAGCCCTGCATGCTGATATGAAATCATCTTATATTAATTAGCTAAACATATTTTACTTACGGTACATTTAATGTTTTTCCACTTCCTGGTACTCTTAGGCATTAGTGATCTGTCCACACTGTCCATCTGCCTTGACTGCCTTTAGGCGTTCTCTAAAACTCATCTCTTCAGGGAAATATACCCCACCTCAAGCTAACCCCTCAACCATCACATTCTCAAACAATTCCTCCCCACACAGCTACCTCCTCATGTATCACTTCTTCCTCCCTTTTAGATTGTAAGCCCTCAGGGGCAGGGCCCTCCTTACCATCTTGTCTTGAATTGTATTGTGATTGTAATGTCTTTCTTATATTGTAAAGCGCAGCGCAAACTGTTGGCGCTCTATAAATCCTGAATAATAATAATAATTTAGCCCAAGCCCTCATGCACACTGAGCGTTTTGAGCGTTTTTTTTCTGCTCGAAAAAAATGCAAAAAAAAAAAGAAGCCCCCAAAAAAACTCATTCATTTCTATGGCCATGTTTACATCGGAGTGTTTTGTTGCAAAATGCCCGTTGCTTGAAGAAAGTACATGAGCTTCCTTTTGGCAGATTATGCGCCTCTTGGCCTCATAGAGTTCAATAGAAACACTCAAAAATGCACGTTTGCTGCGTTGTTGCACATTTTTACGTACATAAAAAAAACATTTGTTCATTTACATCAAAGTGTCACGATCTGCTCGTTTCTTCTCGTGAAGATGCTGTCACACAGGTGTGAATGCGGGCTAAGAGATGCCTCTTGGGAAGGTTACACCAGCAGAGCATTGCTGGGGAATCCCATCAGTAAACTGCAAAATGTCTCGAGAACCCAAGGAAAACATTTTTCCCTCTGAGATGATGTGCATGGTCACAGGTCCTAGACCAGGGGTCTTAAACTCAAATTCCCTAGGGGGCCACTCGACATTTTTTTTCTCCCATGGGGGCTGCTTGCCAAATTTCATACCTTAAAATAAAATTTAACGATATCCGGTTTGGTACTACAGACCCCAATATACTAGGGATGCACCGATACTAGTATTGGTATCGGTGCAGATGGCGAGTATTTTGGTGAGTACCGGAAAAAAAATATTGGTACTCGTACTCGATACTGAAATACCGGTATCGGTGCACAATATACACACAATAAGGCCCCATTCATATCTATAGGTTTAGGTGCGATTAGGGATTCCGGCGTCAGAAACTTGCGTTTTTCTGTAGCAGTAATCACTAATCTGGTGTTTACAAGTGGCAGCTTTCACCTATTCAAGTTAATGATCAGGTGACAGTAGATGCATGTAAACACCTGCACACGGCATGTAATTGTACATGATATTATTACATGCGGTTAGAAAACACTCTCCCTGAATGCACAATCATTGCATCCAGGGAGAGTGATTGATTCCTAACCAAATAAAATCATATCACATAGCTTTACATGCAGTGTGCAGGCGTTTACCTGCAACTATTGTCACCTGATCATTAACTTGAATAGGTGACAGCTGCCGCTTGTAAACGCCAGATTAGGGATTCCTGCTGCAAGAAACGCGTGTTCCTGATGCAGAAATCCCTAATTCCACCTAAAGATACAGGTGTGAATGGAGCCTAGTACACTTCTATTCCCCCCCATACACAAAAAAAAAAATACTAACCTAGTACATATAAAATAATACCCCCCCATACACATGAAAAAATACACACACATACAATAATAATTGATAGATATATATATATCTATCTATCTATCTATCTCACACACACACAATCCCAGTCCCCCCCACACATATAAAATATTATAATTCCCAGCCCCCCACAACATATATATATATTTATATA